CCGTCAGCGCGTCAGTGGGATAGGATCAGGAACTTGATGGAAAAATAACATAAGGCCATGATGACAAGGTGACCACGCGAAGATTTCTAGGAGCCCGGGGGGCGAGGGAAATGGCGGTGGTGATAAATGAGGAGGAAGAGAAGAGGAGGGGAGGAGGAGAGGAGGAGAGGAGGAGAGGAGGAGAGGAGGAGAGGAGGAGAGGAGGAGAGGAGGAGAGGAGGAGGATAGATGATGGGTAGGGGAGCTGAGAAGGAGGGCAGCAAAGAACAAGCACAGCTCGTGTTTACCTTGACTTTCTTGTAAAGCAATGCCGTCCAGTCTTCAACTTTCTTCATTTTGTCCAGATCAACTTCATTCTTCGACAGATCTGCCAATGAAGATGATGTCATAAATGATGTTGATGATGATCGAAATAGTGATGGTGCTTGCAAAATCAACAGCAGAACAAAAGTGTGAGTAGCAGCAGGAACAGGAGAAATGCAAGTAGCGTGCAGTGGCATAGGAAGGAGCAGCGAAGGGAGCACCAAGTCATGGCTGAGAGAATGAAGAAAGGTGAGAGCAGAAGTGGAGGGAGCAGGAGGAAGAAAGGGAGGAGGAGGAGGAGGAGGAGGATGGTTGAAGGAGGAAACAGTGGTGATGGCGCTAGCAGTGGTGGAGGGAGAGAAGGAGGACGAGGAGCAGGAGGGAGCGGGAGGTTCTTCAGCGCTTCAACCTGCTGTCCTCATCTCAATCTCGTCGATCTTCTCGAAGTATCTCCTTGACTGCCAGACTCCGAGCCCCATCGTCACTGCAAGATCTCAGCCCCCCCCCAACAGCTCCTTCCCCCTTCACCGGCGATGGGGACCGAGAAAGCTGCTCGTCCTATCCACTTGGATCGCTCTGAGGGTAAAAATACTTAAATGCTCCCTACCCGCTCCCTTCTGTTCCCAACGACATCGCTGCATCTGTCTTTCCCCCCCTTCCTCCTTGTCCTCGTCCTCGTCCTCGTCCTCGTCCTCGTCCTCGTCCTCGTCCTCGTCCTCGTCCTCCCTGCCCCCTGCCCCCTGCCCCCTGCCCCCTGCCCCCTGCCCCCTGCCCCCTGCCCCTGCCCCCTGCCCCTGCCCCTCGCCCCTCGCCCCCTCGCCCCCTGCCCCCTGCCCCCTGCCCCCATGCTCCTTGTTCCCTGCTCCCTGCTCCTTGTTCCCTGCTCCCTGCTCCACCCCAATCCTCCGCATTTGCTTCTGCTACTCTCACCTTTGTTGCTTTCCTCTTCTTTGCCGTCACTGCAGAGCGAGTGTAAGAAGGATAGTGAGCAACGGGATCTCCAAGCTCTCGACCTTGAGGAGGAGAAGCTCCGACGCCTCGAGCTCTGCGAGCATCCCAGCAAGCACCTCAGACCTGATCTGTCGTCATACTTGCATGTAGGCGAGGGCAGGGGAAGGTTTAACCATTCCGGCTCGATTGCTCTGGAACAGACGCGCCACGATACGATGCGAAATGCTGGGAAATCCATGCTCTGGTGTTGAAGGGGATGCGTGCAATCATCCTGATAGGAAGGAATCAAATTCAAGGACGATGTTGCTTGCTCATAGTTTCCTCTGCACTCCAGGTCCCGTCTTGTTCGTGAAAGCAACATTTCACACTGATATCATACCTACCTCCCCTGATCATCAACTCCTCCCCTTTCCTTCTTCTTAGGCATCATCAATGCTCATGTCGATGCCTCTCCTCTTCTCCTCTTCCTCTCCTCCTCCTCCCTCCCCGCCCTCTCCTCCTCCTCCCTCCCTGCCCTCTCCCCCCTCTTTGCATCTCCATCATCAATTTCTGCTGACACTGGATTATGAGCCCCCCTCAGGAGTGATATAGGATGATTGAAAAGGCAGCTCGACCTTTATGTATCATGACGGAACTTAGTCAGTTGAGTCACTAAGAATCCGGGGTCGCTATCGTGATCGGACCGCGCCGCCGGCCCGGTCGACGGTCAGCAGTCCGACTCCTTCAGGAACCACTCAGACTTGCTTGTCACAGAGTCATTTGATCATGACTAGTGATAGTGCTGTGGATCATACCGCCGGTACCGTCGGTCACCGGGTAGTGAGTGACGGTTGTTTCAAGCAATCGAGCAGCTCACTGCTAAAATGCACTGTATTTCTTCAGAACCTCAGTCAGACATCGTTGTGAAGACATGTGTCCTTGAGCTCACTGGTGACTGAACAGCTTTTGAACAATCCAGTCACAATCTGATGCCATGATGATTCCCTATCGTCTCGTGTGTCGCACCAGCAGCATGCAGTTGTGATACAAGCTTGTTTGTCTTGTTGCAAGCATCGAAGCTTTACACTTGTGTGACATCCTCTTCCTCTCCTCCTCCTCTCTGCACGAGCTCGAGCGTTTCTTCGCTCTCCTTCCTCTCTTGTCCTCACCAAACGGAGGGTCCAACAACTCAGGGGGAGTGGAGGCAGGATGCAAACTGCTCCGTCCCCATCGCAAGCTTGGATGCGACCAGTGTAGAGCAGAGCAATCTCCTGCTGTGTTTGGCAAGAGACTGAAGGCACAAACAATCACGCTAGCCCGAGTAACAAATGAGTGACCTTCAACCCGAATGCATCGATGTGATGAACGGAGCTCAGATATCGCAGGTCTAACATGGACCTTACGTTTTCAAAGGCAGTATGCCATTTGCTTTGTGACAAAGTCGTCCATTTTCCAACCTCGTCTTGATGCCAACCAACGCCTCCAACCTATCGGCATCCTGTCCACGGGAAAGAAGAGCAAGACAACGTCATGATCGTTTACCAATGAGTCTATTGATGCAGTAGCGACCAGTACTCACATGAAAGATGTTGATCCCAACTTTGACGATGCTGGCATCGTCCAGCAACTTTCGAAGCCTGGGGAGTTGAGGCGACCTGCAGCTTTTCATCGCTCTTCCCAGCTGAATGACGAGGGCGACATCTTCACAAGAGAGCTTGGACGTGTGTGAGAGAACAACAGCACAGTGCAGTACGAAGAGGATCAATACCTGTAAGACCGACACACCAACCATGTTTACCCGAACACTATTCCGCGTCAAGTCCAACAACAGTATGAAATCTGGACAGCAAGAGGGAGACGTCTTGTTCGATCTCCTCGCATGTCTTGCTCACTCTCACCATCACCTTGCATGAAGTAGTTTATTCAACTTTTTTGAAGACCAGAGCGCAACAAGGCAGATGGTGATTGGGGATTTGATTTGTAGAAGCGAGAAAAGCAAAAACTCAGCGTCATGATGGAAGTGTTATAACGAAATCAACTTGCACAAGGAGCCGCAAGCTATCGATCAAAACAGACAACAGAATGAAAGTTCAATTTGGCGTTAGTGCGGAGGTATTGGTTGCCTTACCTTCTTGGATCCCAGAAGATGGAGGTATTGACCTCTGTGTCTTTCACTGTGCGTAACGTCTTTGCTGTACGAACACCCTCGAACCATCATTGCAAGTAGCCAGCACTACGCCATAGCCGCTGCTGTACTACAAGCCCAAACCCGCCCTCCTCAAGAACTCTCCGCGTATCTCTCGGCCTTATGCCTCATTTCGCTTCCTCATTTGCACGTCAATCTTCCTTGGCTCTACTCTACCTCTTGTGTTCTGTCTGAACAGATCTTTTTACTCAAAGTTAAGGTAAAAATGGTGGACCTCTGAGCTAAACCAATAACTAAACAATAGCACCCGGGATGGGGGGGGGGGGGGGAGGGTACTTCTCAGCACAGTTTCTGCAGAATCTCGGGGTGGGGTGTACAGGTGCCCCGCCTTCTCTTCACCATACAAAGTACTGGCATCTCAGTTTGAGTTATTTTTACAATCCGATTAATAAAACTCCTACCCATCTGAGCGGTGGGGTAGTGCAGAGGAATCAATGAAAGTTCACCTACAAGGGTGGGGTCATCAATTGAGCAAGTTGGGGTGATCAAACTTCAGGGGTACACTGGGGGGTACTGGGGGTATTTCAGTATCAATCCTCGAAACTGATGGATAATCGACCAGATCGGGCATGCGCGACAGCGGTCGAGATGCGGAGAAGGAAGAGAAGGAAGAAACCCCTGAAATGATTGGGAGTGAAGGGGCAGGAGATGCTGGACACGAAGAGAGGTACAAGAACAACAAGGGACAAGAAGGACAAGATGAAATACGAGAGGTGAAGAAGAAGCAGATGCGAAAACAAAGCAAAGATTTAACCAAGAATTGTGAGCTGTGTTCATTGCTCTGTTGTTACTGCTGCTTCTACTGCCTGAGCAAGAAAAACAACCGTACCGAGACAAAAACGGAGAGGCAGTGCAATTGCAAACATGAAAGTCGGCCTCATCTGAGTGTCATAGATCAGTGTATCCACCTCTTGAAAGTCAAAGGAAGTGAATACCTCCAAGAATTTCTTGGACATCGATATGACACGGAAGACTTGAAAAAGGATTTCATAAAATTCCATAAAATCAATAGGCAAGCCTGCCAGAACGGCCGCGGTGTACTTCTCCAGGGCAGCAAGGAACAGTTGCTTTCGGGAGTTGCAACAGAACTTGGAGAACGAATTAAGGAGAGAGACGAAGAAGAATGGCCTTGCTGGGTGACCATCCTCCTTTCAGACTCTGTACGGAAAATCCGCGTTAGGCGACACCTCACCAAGAAGCAAAGGAAGTATATCTGGGAAAACGCTAATGGTACTTGTTATCTGTGCAACTGCCATATTGATCCCGAACTTCGATGGCATGCGGATCATGTACTGGCTTTCTGCCAAGACCCAGAGAAGAACGACATCATTGGCAACATGTTGCCTACTCATGAAGAATGTAATCTCTCCAAGGCAGCTCATTCCCTCACGTGGTGTGCGAGGCATGATCTATTTTCTATGTCTACCCAGGTAATTCAAGACGTGGGGTCCAACCTTGCGACGTTCACCAGAGATGCTCTGGAGCGCGCGCTCATGTTGAAGCATACGTTGAAGAACAGTTCGACGAAGATGATGAAACAGAAGCTGATCGATGAGAAGGAGTGTGAAGCTGATATCCACCACATCTGCGATGAGCAGCTGCAAATTCTTGAAGTGGAATGCGAGGAAGTTGAGAAGATCAAGATTTTCAATGACGACTGTGTGGTGCAAAAGCCCTTTGACTCACTTGCTTCCGGAGGGTCGGCCCGGGTCTTCAAAGCAAAGTTGCTTGTTGACGGTAAGGCCCCGGGGACGTACGCGTTGAAGCGGTCGGCCGATACGATCCTGGCCAACAAGCTCAGGCATGAAGGACACCTGCTCCACAAGTGCCAGCACGAAAACGTGGTGATTCTCTTCGGAGTACTGGAGGTGACAGGTTATGTCCGTGATGAGTTCCTCATCCTCGAGCATTTCGATTTCACGTTGGCGCACCAGGGAAGCGGCATGGGTCCCAGCGGTCAAGACATCTTCTGGAAGGACCCGATCAGGTCTGTCGGAGCTCTTGCCCGGGCCATCCGTCATGTTCACGGGATGGGCGTGATCCACCGAGACGTCAAACCCGCCAATGTGCTGGTGAAGAAGAACGGGGTTGTCAAACTCTCGGACTTCGGCGAGGCCCGATTGCTGTCCAGCGACCAACAGGCAATGACATTGGTAGGGACAAACGGTTTCATCGCGCCAGAGATTTGCAAGGGGCTACCTTACGGCTCTGCCTGCGATGTATACAGCTTCGGCTGCACTTTGCTTGATTCGCGGTCCGGTCTCCATTATCTGATCGAGTATCAAGAAGATGCCAAGTTCTTCAAGCGACTTGCACAAGATTGCATATTCGACAACCCCGGAGATCGATTGACCATGCAAGACGCCGTAGCAAGAATTGAAGAGTATGCGGCGACCTGGGACTCCGCGGCCGGTTGAAGGCTCAATGCGGCACCGTGACTGACTCAGTCGGCGACGGTCACTGACTGACGGTCATGCCGCTCAGCCTGACTAGGTCTACTGTATTTTGCCCCCCATCACACCGCTGGACCGGCGGGCCCGTGAGCCGCTGATTGTACGTGGGATCAACCGTGACCAACCTCAGCAGCCGACTGAATTTTCTAAACTTTTTGAACTTAAAAATCCAAAAACCGTTCAGCGCCACGGGGCTGCACTGACGTCAGTACAGTGCGACTGCTTCACTGACTCTGTTGTGAGGGCTGAGCAACACTGTGACTGTGACTGAGGCGGAGCCTGGCAGGGGCGAAGTCTCAGCCTCAGTCACGCCGCAGGGATCATCCGATGATCATCGATGGGATCATCATCCCGACGGTCACCAGCGCCACCGGCATCACCGGCATCACCGGCATCACCGGCATCACGAGCATCACCGGCATCACCGGCATCACCGGCATCACCGGCATCACCGGCATCACCGGCATCACCGGCATCACCGGCATCACCGGCATCACCGGCATCACCGGCATCACCGGCATCACCGGCATCACCGGCTCCGCAGGCTGGCAGACTGCCGAAGTCCGATGACGGTCCGATATCACGTGCTGACGCTGCGCGCCGTGGCAGACACTGGCCACCGTGGCAGAGGCTCGGAACCGGAAGAACTGGAACTCGGCGGGCCCGGCGCCGGCTCACTGCCGCAGCCCAGCGGCCTCAAGTTCTCAGCTCTGCTGGGCTCTGAGCTCTGCAGGGGGCCAGCATTGCCAGCTCAATGAAGTCGTAGGCCTGCCGGAAGCCCAGGGACTCGTAGAAGCGAATGAGTTTGCCGCTACCTGGCAGACTGACCGTCACGGCGAGCCTGCGGAGCATCGGAGGCTCCGAGGGAGATGCCAGGGAAGAGAGAAGGGGAGTAGAGAGGACTGAGAGACGACGAGAAAAGAGGAAGGGAGGGAAGAGAGCTGGAGGGCGGAAGTTGGGGGGGAGGGGCTGGAGGAGGAGGAGGAGGAGGAGGGAGGTATTCGCACCGGTGTCGCGCTGCTGAAGGAGAATGAAGTCGAAACCGAGGAGCTGATAGAACCGCATCGTTGTCTTCATGAGCTCCACGCCAAGACCCTTCCCTCTGAAAGGTGAAGAGTGAGGAAGAGGGAGGGAGGGTAAAAGGAGAGGAAGTAAAGGCAAGGAGGGAGGGAGAGGAAGGAGGGAGGAAGGGCGGGCGAGAGAAAGCTACCGGAACTCATCGTCTAGGACGATTGAAACTAGACCGATCATCCTTACGCTCGAGGTGTCTGCGGTAGCACAGTAAGTCATCCCTCCTCCTCCTCTTTCACTCCCTGCTCACCCTTCTTGTCGACCTGCCCCGGGAATAGCCGTCGAATCGTCTCCCCCAGCTCCTCGTCGCTCATTCCCGCGTCCTTTGCGAGCACATGCCCGATGGTTCGCTCGCCCTCCAAGAGCAGGCAGGAGAGGTCTCCCTCCGCCGAATCCGAGAAGCATCGGACGGTCCTCCCCTCTCCCAGCGTCTCCTCGTAGCTCGCCCCATTCTCCCCCTTCTCCAGACTACCAGCAGCAGCCGGTCGCCCCCACACCTTCCTCGCGATGCTCTCAGCGGCTTGTCGGTACTTGGGATTTTCAGCTCCTCGCACAGCACGCGGCGCCTCCTCCCCCCCTGCTGCCACATCGGCCGGCTGAGCGAGAGGAGGAGCAGCGGACCGGCGAGGGTCGTAGATCCGGTTCAGAACCTCTTCGTCACTGACGATGCTCGAGCTCAAGTACCAGCGCGGGTCTCCCCACCTCCACTCCTTGAGCAGCGGCGTCAACTTTTCTGACTCTACCAGGCAGAACCCCACGAGGATGTACCGACTGCCGGAGGAGATCGGATAGCCGCCATGGCGAATCTTTCCGCTGTGCAGCACGGCGACTCCCTGCTCATGGCGGAACACCAGCCCGTCTTCCTCGAAGAACGTCCCTCCTCCTTGGAAGTCAGACGCCTCGTTCAGGAGGAGAGAGAAAGTCATCAGAGCCCCGTCCCTGTGGACCGACAGCTGGTTCTGTCCTGCTCCTGTGTACCGCACAAGGAAGACGTCGACGGGGGTAACCTCTCCTGCTCTGAACCCGAACCTCTCCCCGATGCTCTCCGCGATCCTGGGCCCGATGCTCTGCCTCCACAGCTCCGATCCTCGGGGGAGGCGGTCGATCGGGATGTCAGTGGTAGCATGCGTCTTGTGCCTCGACGTAGTCCACCCGTGCTGCCTCCCATGTTCCTCCGCGTCCTCGATCAGAAGCTGGCACTCCTGCTGGGAGAGGAGGGGAAGGATGCCGATCCCAAGTAGAGGGTTCAGCTGCGAGCTGACTCTCTCGGGGTAGAACCGCATAGCGTCAATCGCGTCAAGACGACCCAGGAAGGCGACGAGACGACGAGAGAGAAACCAGGGGAGCCTGGGGAAGACTGTTGAACAAACGTCAGAAACATCCATCTCCCCCGCTGCACCTGCTTCCCCCCTCTCCCTCCCCCTCGCCCACAGCCCCGCCCCCCCCCGCCGCTTAACGCACACTCAGCCCCTCTTACCCCGTGCATTCTTTCCGTCTCTCTCTACCCCTCCCTCCTTCGCTCATCTTCTATGTTTCCTCCTCCCAAACTTGTTTCTCGCCCTTCGTCATACCTTGGCCAGCGAGAGGAGAAGAGGCAGCAGTCAAGAGCAGGCGGCTCCATACCTTAGACTTCTCGATCCACCCAGGCACCTTACTCGTCTCCCTCTCATTCTCGTCGTAGCTCACTTGGCAGATCTTGTAGCTGCAGGGACTGATTTACCCCATGTGATTGTCAACAGGCTGAACGTACCAGTCGACGGGCTGCTCTCGCTCCCAACCTTGTGCTGCTCGCTGGCAGAACCCGTACACCTACAGCAGCATCATCCTACTCGAGGCGAGAGGGAGCAGCAGCAGCGTCTCACCCTCTTGGCCTCTGAAAACGCCTCCTCATCCCCGAAGCAGGTGAAAGAGATACTTTCCAAGTCTGCTCCCATAACCTTCTCTATAAGCCTCCTAAAACTCCGGTCCTTCACACAGCCCAGTTCCGCGCATACAATCAGCTGCCCCTTCTGAAACTGCAGGGTCCTTGACTTGTCTATCCTGCACATCTGTCAGACCTCAACAAGGATCAGAGCGCTCGTACATGTAGTTGACGGGCATGCCCCCTTCAACCCAGAAGATGGTGACTGTCTTTGACCTATCACCGAGTATCCTACACTGGTTCATCTCTTGTAGATATCTTTCAGCCTGGTTCTCGACCGAAGACATCGACCATGGGCAAAATCTGAGCCTCGCAGGCCGGCCTGCTTTCCCGGCAATCGGCTCCTTGCTATGCTTCAGCATGCTCAGCAGCTTCGAGGCTGCCGGGGAGCATCGCATGCCAGGGTTTGTTCCCTTGATCGAGAAGGACAGTGTCGGTTGGAGGAGAAAGGACGCTGCAGGCAGCAGCAGCAGCAGCAGCCGATGCCGCGCCATGCTATCTCGCATATCGCTGTTTCCCTGGCCTCCCCCGATGCCTTCCACAAGTTTACTCAACATCGAGTGGGGTGTTTTTCTGGGGAAATTAGGGGGTAGTAACAATCATCTGGGGTAGGTGGTTTTCAGGGAGTTTTGAGGGTAGTAGAAAGGGCGTTGGGAGAGGTGGGTGGGATTGGGTAATAGGGGGGAAGAGGGTTTGCCAGTGAAGAGACGCGGCATGCTCGACGAGCGTGGAGGGCGGAGGAGGGGAAGCGACATGGTGAGTGAAGCTAACAAAGAATTTCGGAGGAATGCAACCATGGTGAAGTAGATGGAGATAATTGGCCAAGCTCTACATGGCGGTGATGGGTGGCGGCGACAGGAAGGCAGAGTAGAAGTGTTTGTTTGAACGCGTTTGTTGCGATTTTGTGTTACCAGCCGTGATGAGGATTCTGCATTGGCATTCTTGGAAGAGGGATGTGATAGCAACCATGGTTTCTTCTCCTTCTCTGCACGCATTTCCTTTCCACCACGACAAGCTGATGAACGAGTGGAGAGGCGACGGTGGAAGTCAGTTTAGTTTTTGTTCCCACTCGAGGTAGACAGATTGAAAGGCTGCGTGAGCGAGAGGATAAGGAAAGGAGAAGGAAAGAAAATTCAGACGGTCAGGACATGAGTTCAAGGGGTGTTGTATGATAGCCAGAACATACCGTTAATGTGCAAATGGAATGTTGCACTGATTCTATGTTCCAACATATATAGTCGCGTCCTGATGTACCGCATGACGATCTTGTGCTTGACACTGACTTGATCTGTCAGGATTGGGAAGAGAGGCTCAGCCAACAGGCGCCTGCCTCCCTCACAGCGGGTGATACGGCAGCATCTCCTGCCATCGGTCGCTGAGGTTGTGTTGGTACAGCATCCTTCGTCCTTCTCGTTATCTCCATCATCGCCATCGTCTACCATGGGGCCTCTGGCAACTTCTCCCAGGTGAACTCACATCTGAAGCATCCGGGCCTGACCACTTGGCAGAGCACGACCTCCCTCGCGCAGATGGAGATGCTTGTTGATCGCCAGAGCGGCAGGGTTGTCTACATGCCAAGGGTAAACTCTTGGTGCTGAGGAGAGCGTCTGGCTGATGGGTTGGCTGAGCAGGCGCGCAAGTTGAAGCAAGTCAGGGTCCAGGCCTTGGCTGCGGAAAAAGAAGAGGAGGAGGCAGAGGCAGACGCTCCTGCCATCCGATACGAGAATGACTACAAGGTGGGAGGAGGAGACCTGGAGGTACCGGTCTCCATGGTCGACTACGACAATCTAGGGGAGGGGAGCATTGTGGACCAGCGCTATCCTCGGAAACTTCCAGGTAAGACTCGCAGCCTCGTCCTTTGGTCCCTCTGACTCTGCCCTTTAGGACTCGACGAGCTGGAAGCGCAGTGGAATGGGCTCTTCAGCTGGGGATCGAGCTCGAGTCAGCAACAGCCGGGAGAAGAGGAGGAAGTGAGTGGCTGGACACTTTCCTGAGCTGTGCTGATAACCATGTGTTGCAGGAGGCGGAGGCTGCCAACGCTCCTGCAGCTGCGACAAGAGTGATGAACAAGGCAGACCTCAACAACGAGAATAAGGTGAGAATAGCTGGGGACGAGGAGGAAGGGTGCTGGAGACGGCGAGCAGCAGGGGGGAGCTGGCATCGTAAGGGGTTGTGGTTGGGGGCAAGGGTGGGGGAGAAGAAAGTTTGTAAGGAGCAGGAAAGATGGGTAGGCCATAGTAGGGCAGCAGGGATCCTAAGACATTCGCTGGTACTGACACTGAGCTAGTTGGAGGGTCTGGGGGTCAACACATGAGACATGAGAAGTGCAAGATTTGCCAGCATTCTTCGCTGAAGGATCAGCCGAGACGCGGAAAGTGCTGACGACATCGAGTGTGGGGGTAGGAGCGGAGGAGTGTAGAGGGAGGGCCGAGAATGGAAAGGGAAAAGAAAATAGTCGCAAACCAAGTTACATTAAACGAACAAATCATCTTACATGCAGGAATAATTCTACAACAGTGAAGGTGAAGCTTTCATATACACATTCTTAGATAGCAATGTCGTCCAACGTGTCTGACGACGACCCGCTCGTCTGTCCACCTTGTGTCGAGATCCTTGCGAGCTTCTGAAAGTATTTCTGAGCGTGTGTCCGCACTTGTACCGGCGTCCTCGTCCTCACGTGGTCCGAGATCGCCTTCATGGCCTTAGGGCCGTACATGCGCAGAGCCTCTAGGAACTTGTCGTGCTCCTCCTGGAGCCAGTATCTCCTGGGCACGTCCTGTTTCATGCTTTCCTCATGCTTATCTTTCTTGTTCTCCTCCAGCAGATCAGCCACAACAACCCGCAGCCTGTCCAGCTCGCACTCTGACTCCGCCAGCCTCGTCTTCAGCTCCTCGTGCTGGAACGCGAGCCGCCTTAACTTCGCCCTGTCTGTCTCATGGTCATCGCCGCTCTTGGAAGATGACTTGTCGCTGTCCTCTGTCTCCGTCTCATCCTTCTCCAGCTTGCGCTTCGCTAAGATTGACCTCACCGAGTCATCGTGGGGAGCAAGGAGCATCGCCATCTGAGAGGCCGCAAAGCCCGAGCCCTCAAACCCTTGCAAGGTCAGCCCGTGGATGTTGAAAGGCAGAGTAGACAGTGGGTGGAAGCGTGGGCTGCACATAGATGGCTGTAGAGAGTTGTTGAGGAGTAGAGGCATTTCTGCGCTGTGTTTGTCTCCGTCCATGACGTAGACGAAGAGCGGGGAAGGTATTCTTTCGCTTTTTCCTTTGCTTGTAACTCTAGATGATCTGTGGACAAAGGTCAAACTCTGAAGCAACCAATATACCATCTTTGCGTGATACAAGTCATGTGTGATCCCCCTACACCCCTCAGATCTCAATGGTGTTCTCTTTCACTGTAAAGATGCACATCCTCGCCTTAATACCGAATAGGATCGGATCTCTATTTTCTATCAACTAGACTTCTCGTTTTTGACATCTTTATGCGGCTCTATCTACATCACCCTCCTTTCATCTGTTCACACTGTTCTTTTCCAACTCAATCCGCTCTTGATGTGCGCGTCGTTTTATTCTCTTCTTTCAACCTGCCCTGCTTATACCCTGCGCAACATTTCCGTCTGCTGCCCATCCTGACTTGCTCCGCTCCCCTTTCTCACTCAATCTCCAACATTCATCTTTTGTCTGCCCTTTCGTCTTGAACCTCTATCCTGATCTGCTCTTGTAGCCTCCTTACATCTTCGTAGGCTGACATCGCGATTCTGTTCCGCTACCTTCCTCTTCAATGCTGTGAACGCCTCCATCTGCCCAGCCTCGTCTCTCTGATCTTCCTGTCTTCGTTCCTCCATCTTTCCCTGACAGTCATACATCTCCTCCTCCTCTGCTTCTCTCCCCATCGTGTCGCTTTCCCCGGGTTCATTTATAAAGCATCGGGGGGGTTGGATCTCAGGAAGAGATGAAGGGAGATGTCTGGGTGGGGGAGGGGGGTTTCGTGCGAATGAGGTTAAAACAGGGGGTGGGTTGGTTTTGCAGGGGTATACTTAAAGGATTGCAGTAGGTGGGGGTCTTCCCAATCCATTAAGAAGTATTCACTTCTTTTTTAGGCCTTTCTCACATAATTCCAATTTGAACAATAGATTTATGTTGGAGACTTTGAATTTAAAGGTTGGGATAATGTTTGAATCAAAAGGGGTGGGGTCTACCCGTATTCGGGACCTCTCTTGGTCAAATTTTGTAGACAGTTGTATGCTCATGACTGGGGTAGGGTATGCTTAAGGAAGTAAAAGAGATTTTAAACAAGATCGCCGATCTTAACTTGAAACGACGTACTTTCAATTAATCTTTGATCTCCTGGCGATCTCCTTTTGTATCTCCCCCCTTGTGATATATCACCCCTTTACCCCACCCCTTTCTGTTGCTTCTCCCACCCCCTTTCTCCCTATGACCCTTCCTTCGAATCTTGGACTGCCCCCATCACCCCTCCACAGACTTGACTACCCCTTCGATTCCCTCCCTCCATCTCCCGTCTAGTCGGAGTACCCCTATACCTTCCGCAATCGATTCGGACAACCGTACCACTCAGAAAACCCCACCCTACACCCATGAAGAATTCCCTTGTGTACCACCCACCAGTTTCTCTCAAACTAGATGGAAATGGGGGTAGTTCTAAGAAGTGTGTCAAGGGGTGGGGTCCGTTCCTGAAAATACGCCCTAGGCAGCTCTGAAGAACAATCACAGAGACGATCTAAAATAAGCCTGGGAACTAGGGGTGGGGTACTGTTTCCCGTCAAACAAAGGGGTACTTGATTAAGGGGGTAGTGGTATTTCATCGAATGTCAGCAGGTTAATGAATTTATTATGTGTACATTTACAGAAAACGAGATCTTGAAGGTGACTCATGTTTGTGGCGGGGATCCTGATTGTGAAAGGAGACGGGGTCCAATTGGACCGGTGGGGACCTTAATGTCTGATGGACTGAGTCGGAGGCCTCAGGGTTTTGAATAGTATTCTAAAATAGTTTTAGCGGGGTGAGATGTCAGCAGATTTGGATCCAAATTAAGTCTTTTCAAACTAAGTCAAGTGGGAGATCTCGAAATTGCTCTGAGATAGTAGCAAGATTGCAGTCCGCATAAACAGTTTAAAACTATTTTGATAATCGAAAAAATAGTTGTTCGATAATTTAAAAATCCCAATGTGTTAGAACTATTTTAAACTCACTTTGAATAGCCATGTTTTAGAACAATGTCCGAGTCTGCCAGCGCACTCGCACGGGCCCACCCGGCGAGCCTCGGAGTGATGGGTCAAGAGGCCGCGCCGCCGAGCCGGCGGCTCCAGTCACCGGTCAGTGACTGCCACCTGATTGACTTTACTCAAAGTTAAGTTAAAAACTTCAGCCTGTGCGAGGACAATCAGGAGAGTCGACCTGGATTTTAAAATACGTACAGATCTTTACTCAAAGTTAAGTTAAAAATCAGTACGAGGACAATCAGGAGAGACGAGGAGGCTTGAAGTTCGGATCCGCCGGGACACGGACTGTCGCACAGGCTGAACTAACTGAGGGCGAGAAGAGAAAAGACAGCGAGAACCAAACCCTGACCTATTCCTGCCGACTGCTGTCCCCCAACTTGCCAAACTTAATTGATACCTTCACTTAAAGGCAACTGCGCGCACTGCCGGCCGCAGTATCATGATCCGATGCCACTGACTCATTCACGGTGATCATCTGATCATTGGATTACTCGGTCCCCGACCGGGCCCGGGGCCGTCGGTCCCAGCCTGTCGGTCCGGAGCCGGGCCGCGCCCTGGCACCGTCGCCGGTCAGTAGGCTACCGGGTAGCCGGCCCCGGGTTCGGAAGTTCAGTGATGCCCGGGTTTGTTGTGATGAGTAAACCTTTCAGTACACTACTGTCATACCGCGCTTGGACGGCTTTGTAACTGCTTTAATCAATGAACTAAATGTTGAATACATTTTTTTTGTAGAATCTCATACAAAGTATGTTATAGTTTCTGTATACATTTGTTAGAGTTTTCTGTACCTTGCTGGGGTTTTAAAAGTCCTGTACATCATATCAAACGCCTCTTCGCAATGCGCTTCTGGCGGCTAGCTGGAGTTCGGGCGACGATGTTGCCCTTTGGGCAGGTGAGATGAGCAGAGGAAGATGGGAGGGAAACCACGTGAAGGGAAGATGAGATGGTAAGGAGGAAGGCTGAGAGATGGTTCAGACCAAGAGCAAGGGAGAGTTGAAAGAGCTGTGAACAACAGGAACAGATACTCAGCATGAAAGAGAAGATGGGATGGAGGCATAGACGTAATGTAACTGATGAAAGAATTGATAATCTATATCTGAGACAGAAATGAATGTGTCTCAAGGAAAACGATAAAGGACAGAAACTGAAAAGTCTTCGTGGGGATTTGGGGGGCAAGGGGAGAGGGGCTGCCTAGGCGAAAATTCAACAGCAAGGATGAAAACATACATTAGTTTAGAGCAAACATTCGCAAGAATTTCCTCTACCATTTATCCAGATGTAAAGTTGCACTGTGCTTATGATCACTTGGAGAAGTTTGGTAGTGGGTGCAGAATGAAAGTTTGCCTGATGCCTTTCAGTTGAGTTTAGCGTGATACTCCAGTAGGGTCTGGAAACTCAAAATAGCAAACTACATGTTGGATTTCTTGACAAGCGTAGGGGGGAGGTCAAAGGAAGTTATGTGGGAGTTGGAATAAGGTCGCAACCAGATGATTTTTCCTTCGCTTTTAGTTTGGGGTGTAAAGATGTCTTTATCTGACAGAAGCAGCTGTGAACTCTATCTGAAAATACACTCTTGCCTGTAGTTTAACTAGACTATGTGTATCCTCTGCTTGACGTCTGGCTTATTTATACCCTTGTGCATTTTTGCTTGAATAAGCTGATCTTGGTGCAGGAGGGAATTGAAGATTCACTTTGCAATCCCACGGACACTGTTTGCATTGAGGTGTGAACTACAATGATTATTCTCTTCGTCTCTTGACGTCGCTCTGTTTGTTCGATCTGCAGCCTCAACCTCATGAGAGCAACTTCACCGAGTCCTACTCTCACAAGTACACCAGCTCTGTCCTCGACCCCAAGACAGGTGTTTCCATCAGCTACGATAATGTTTCGATGGTCCCATTGAACTGAGCGGAGGCTCTGACCGCATCGATATCTGAACGTCTGATGTTATACCAACATTTGATAACAGCCTGAGCCCTAGTAAGCCCTTGCTAGCGTTTGTCAACGCATGCACCTCTCTCTACTGGGCAAATCAGCAAGTTCGTACATGCTTCAGGTTTTCCGAAGTTCAGTGATTGAAAGTTACGCTGAGGTCAAAATCAGACGTCAACCAGTCCCCTGACGGTAATGATTCGGAGTTTTGTCGCTCAACTTCCGACAACACTCTGATCTTCGTCCGAACGGCGATGCAATGATTCGTTGACTGCCAGTGTCCACTTCAGGGGCCTGCCAGTGCCGCATCACCTTCCCGGCGAAGAATTCAACGTTTGATTCTGCAGTGAGAGCACTGCAGCGTCCGCCGGTTTGTGGCGGCAGCAGCTGAGCACTGAGTGACCGAGGGACCGTACGGTCGGAGCCACCAGGGCAGAGTACGGTCCCGGCACTGCAGTCACTTAGCCTGTGTGGGAACGGTGACTAGCCCGGCGCTGCCGCGGGCCGGGAAGAGTCTCTTGACTCGCGCGGCCCGGGCCGGACTCCGGCCGCGGCCGCCACACGGTGCCGGCGAATGCCAGTGTCGGATCGGACAACGGTGGCTCGGACCGGCGTACTCTCTGGTCCCAGCCTGAGTCAACCCGGGGCCCGGGGCCGGGCGCCTCCCGGAGTCCGCTCGGCCCAGGGCCTGCGGATCGGACTGGGCCCGGGCGGCCCGGCCCGGCGCCGCGCCGCGGCGGCCTGAGTACGGTACGGTCATCGTCGGATCGGATCAGGATCATTGGCCAATGCCAATGATTGCGCGGCGGCTCAAGCCGCGCCGCCGCTGGTGTGTCAACCACGATGGGCATGTTCCACATGCCGCCCGAATCCGGGCTCCGAAGTCCTAAGGGGCGTGAAGAATCGTTCACGGCAACATCAATTTCAAACAGTTTATTACTTCAACTTCAGTGACTCCCGCTTCGAGTTCCGAGAACCATAGTGACGGGAAGAAATCACTGTAGCAGACTGCGAATTAAGGGTATGATAGGATGAAACGCAGTGGGCAAGACCGTTGGCGTAACAGTGACCATGGGAATCATCTTGAACTTCGATCGGACCCTTGGCAATCCTGTATGCACTTAGCCGAGATTACCGGCGGCTGCCACATTGAGTTGAGCTCAGCCTGAGGGTGTTCTAGGCCTCCATGGCCTCCTCGAGGTTTTCGATTGTTCCGCCGTTGATGACGTTGGTGTAGCCCATATCCATGAGGGCTGCGCATGCGAGTGACCCTCTCCTTCCCAGACTGCAGTGAGTGATAATGGGCGTGTCCTTGTCCTGCGGGATGATGCCATCTGCGACAGCTTTGCGCACGTTGGCGATGCAGGTGTCAGGGCCGGAAGGGACGGAAATGGCACCGGCGAGAAGGGGGGCGACTTCGAACTCAATGGTAGCACGAAAATCAACGATCTTGCAGCCAGGCTTCGCAAGCTGCTCTTTGAGCTTCGGCACGTCAGCAACAGGCAGAGTGCTGGGATCTGTCTTGAGGTCATTCACTGTCGCTCCAGGTGCTCCTCCTCCTGGAGCTGCTCCAGGGGCTGGGGCTGGCGCCGGCTTCTCTCCTGGCGGGACAGGTTTTCCTGACGAGCAACTGCAAGCAGTGTCAGAGGAAAACATGACTGCAAATAAGCGCACCAGCCTCCCATTGGATAGTGATCAAAGAGCTTCCTAGCTATCGGAGCACGGGTCAGCTCCTCGAGTTCGAGTGGCAGAATCGAAAAGCACAAGCAAGATTCGGTAGAACAGTTGGTGTGGTTGAAGATGAGTTCGCGGAGTTGTTTGCCTAAAAGATGATAAGACATCATCTCGACGACGACAAGTTTAAGATGACCTAGTATGATGCCACAAACTAGCCAATAAGGTATACCAGTTTATCGGGCGCTGTGAAAATGTCAGATTTACGACTGTGCCTGCGAAAATGATTTGAAAGGGTTTCAGACAAGTCAGGTAAGAAGAAAAGAGGAACGACGCAGATCTGCTTGATGAGAACGTGAGGTAAAATGAGCTCGGATCTTATCAAGTTCACGGATGCCGATGGATTCAAGATGGTGAAGACAGTGCAAGACAATGCGCCCGGCCGACGTTAAGGTTGGCGAGGTCCATAGGCAAGGGAATGAGAAAAAGGTGATGACAAAAACGAGAAGAACAAGAACAAGAACGAATAATAGCGATGCGGAAGTTCAATGTTAGCCAGCAAGGCGAGGCAACATGTTGGAACAGTATGCGCTGTCTCAACGCATTGCGAAGCAACGGACACTCCGGGTCCACAATGAATTTCGGTGGTGGGGGTATTGTCATCAAAGGTTATGAAGGGGTACAGGGGTCATTCAATCTCCCCTAAATCGCATGTTAGGTCCAATATCCATGAGAGTGGATTATTTGATAGGGACTCATTTATGAAATGTGTTACCTATAGAAGCCTTCATGAAAATCTAAAATCGAGACCAACCACCCACGGGGTGGGTAGTAGAAGGGATGGGGTGCACAGGTCGTCGTCAGAATTTTTAGTCTCATCATTTGTATGGGAACCAAAGCTATTCGAAATATTTCTATCATATTCCAAATATGTCCAGAGATTTTAGAAAACATACTCAAAGTTGTGTTGTCAGTGAGGGGATGAGGTCTCTGTCTCAATCATGGGGTAGTGTTCTGGGAAACCAATGGGGTAATGAGGAAAAATATGCTGATAACCCCCTATCTTAACCCGCAAAGCCTTGGTCAAGAGGGGGTAGGGGTAAAGGACAGGCAACACCACGAGGAAATATGGCATGGGGTGGGGCAAGCGAAGCAGAGCAGGAGGAGGGGGAGCAGGGGGAGCAGGGGGAGCAGGAGAAAGAAGAGGTGCAGGGAGTGGAGAAGGGATAGTGAAAGGAGCAGAGACAAGATCGGAGGTCAGTGGTGTAAAGCAAAGGAAGGTAGCGAGGAGCGAGGAGCGAGGAGCAGGAGAGAGGTAGTTAGGTGACCGGGAAGAGAAGAGTGTCAAGGAATGAATAGAGCGAGAACAACAGTAAACTAACTTCACGTGCACCTTGGGACAAGAGTAAGAGATGGTGAGGGCGAACAAGAGGCAAAGCAAGCATTGAAGCCGAGTTCGAAGTTGGAGGCGGGTGTGAAAGGATGTTCCAGCCTTAAGAGGTTGCAGTTCAAAGAGTGGAATGGACACACACATGATTATGTGAAGATAGCTTCTCTCGACTCCTTCTTTCTACTCTGCATGGCGCTAACATCGAGATGATCTTCTCGGACTGTGCACGAGTGAACTGTTGATGGAAAGGAAATATTGGATTTATGTTTTCAGCGACTTGCTGAGATTCGCAACCTGTGTCTTACCATTTTTGTGTAGGTCAGCAGGGGTAAGCTAGGAGGAGTTGCTGTCTCGAACAAGCAGGACAGACAGCTCTGTTTCCTTGGTCAACCTGTCGCAGTCTTCACCCTCCGACTGTAGATCATGGCGAACAAGACCGACCCGCTCGCCGCCAGCGTGCATGGCACAAACCCTCAGTTTCTGGTGGAGAAGATCCTGAGGCAGAAGATCTACGACGACAACTACTGGAAGGAACATCTCTTCGGCCTGACGGCCGAGACCATAGTGGATCGCGCGATGGAGCTGGATCATATAGGTGGAACCTTCGGAGGAAACAACAAGCCAACTGTGTTCATTCAGTTGGTTCTTAAACTCTTGCAGCTTCAACCTGGTAATTATGATAACGATGATGATGGCGATGATGAATGACTGCCATACTAATGGTAGAGATGATGAACATGTGTAAGAAAATAGAAAAAAGGATAGATAGAGGGATAGATAGATGGATAGAGGGAGGGAGGGAGGGAGAGAGGGAGGGAAGGGAGGAGGAGAGGATTGATGTGTTGCGGTTTCGTTTCCACAGCAAAATTTCCTCTTGTATGTTTAGGAATGTCCTTCTCTCCTTGCTTCTTGACAACTTCTTATTTGAGCTCTCGCTATCTTTGCATCGAAATCTGACTGTAGTGGCAGAGAAAGAGATTGTTCTGGAATTCATCAGGAACGAAGAGTTCAAGTACGTCAGAGCCCTCGGAGCCTTCTACCTCCGCCTCACTGGAAGGGCGTTGGACATTTATCAATACCTTGAGCCTCTTCTCAACGATTACAGAAAACTTCGTGTCATCTCTGGTGATGATTTGTGTTAAGAGGTGGTAGTGATGTGGATTGTGGATATGATGAACATGTTGATGATGTTGCCATGGTTGTTGATATTGTTGTTCATGTCGTTGTTTATGTTTATATGTTTATGTTATGGTTGTTGTTGCTGCTGCTGTTGCTACTGTTGTATGATGATAATGATTCTGCTATGACGAATCGAACAATGACACATTCACCGCAACAGGAGGAGAAAGAGCCTCTCATCAGAAGCGAGACTTGAAATATCCCGAGAGAATGGCATGGGCGGGATATTCCATCATGTAACTATCTTTGCGATGCCATAAATGCTCTTGCAATGTAGTTGTTGTGCACTCTGTGTAAAATACTTTCAATATGGTTGTGGTGAATCATGATGCGAACACGCGAATGTACGTCATCTATCTGTTGAGATTTCTATTAGGTACATGGATGTCTTTATCGATCAGCTTCTACGAGATCCGATGGTATGTTGGACACAACTCTGTGTGAAGCTGCAAGGGAAAGGAGTGAAGTAGAAGTAGCAAGAAAGCAGGAGATATTTCGAAGAGAAGACGAGGAGACTTAATGTGGCAAGTGAGAGATGTCAGACACGGAGAGGTAAAAGATTGAGGCCACACGGAAGAAGGGAGAAGAAGGAAATTCACTGACGAAGAAATCGAGAGAGAGTTAGGAATTCACAAACGATGGCGATCATGTTGAAATTGCAAACCTGACAGCTCTGTCTCCAGGTTCTTGACGTCGCTCTCCCCACGCTCCCAAAACGGCTGAACCTGGAAGATCTTAAACTGGTTGATCCTTATTCAAGTCTTTCATCTTGATGTTTGCTCGTCGTTGTTTTCTGATGAGACTTCGATGCCTTCTTTTCTTCATTCCTCAAACAAGCATCATGCTAAATTGACTTGAACATCGTGCACACAATCATCATTTTTGTTGTGCGGTTGCTGAATTTGATCAACAGGTGCTACCACGTATCAGTGCACTGGACGACGACATCTTGGTAAAGGAGGATCAATGTCAAGATGACGACGATGATGATCATGAAGATGAGGATGAGGATGAGGATGAGGATGAGGATGAGGATGAGGATGAGGATGATGAAAGTAAGGGGAAAAGAGGGAGAGACCTGATGGCTTGGCAGAGTGAAGAGGAGGAAGCAGAACCAGCTAATCCTACCGGCATTTATGTCAACAGGTCTGAGATCAACCTGTTTCCCTTTTACCTCTTCCCCTCCTCCTCTTCCTCATCGCCTCCTCTTCCTTCAACTCCTTCCTCTCCCTCTTGTCCCTAGACGCTCTCCTCCTTCCTCCGTGTCTCCTCTGCTGAGACTCCTGGCAGCCAACAAGGTAACCAACCGACGGAGAGCAGCGAGAGCGGTAGAACGAAGCAGCCATCTCCTCCGCGACGAGAGCCTGAGAGAGAGACCGACCGGTGAGGAGGAGGATGGGAGAGACGCTGGCAGGAGTCTTAACCCTGAGGGCGGAAGGGATCGTGGGAGGGATCGAGATCGCGACAAAGATCGAGGAAGAGACCGATCGCGATCAAGGTGAGGAGGAGGAGGAGGAGGAGGAGGAGGAGGAGTTGGTGGTAGTGGTGGTAGTAGAGGAGGAGGAGGAGGAGGATTTGGTGGTAGTGGTGGTAGTGGAGGAGGAGGAGTAGCAGCAGCATGACAGGCGTTGGACAAAGAAGGCAAGAGGCAATAACTTGAGATGGGGCAGTAGTAGAAGGAAGGATGTTTGTCTGAAGCAGCTGCCAGGTCACGGGACAGGTACAGGAGAGAGCGATCGCGAGAGAGATCATCGTCGCGAGGAAGACGAGGAGATGCAGGAAGGAGGAGACGGTGAGAATAGCATGCTTCTCCTGCGCCCCCCGCCCTTTCCCTCTACTCCCTCCCTCCTCCTCCCTCCGTTCCCTCCCTACCCTTGCTTCCTCCTTGCTCCCCTGTGTATCCTCTCACTGTCCCTCACTTGTCCTCCAGCTCTACCTCCAGAGAGCGCAGAAGGAGCCGCTCTCCGCGAAGGAGGTCGCCGTCCCGCAGCCGCTCGCGCGATCGGTCTCGGGAGAGGAGGAGGTACCGGTCGAGGAGCAGATCGAGGGACCGGAGGTCAGGCTAAGAGGAGGGCGAGCAGCCACTAAGTATGCGGCAGGTCGAGGAGCAGGTCGGAGTCGCGCGGGAGGAGGAAGGAAGAGGAGGAGGGAGGGGACAAGAAGCAGCCGGCGCAGAAGAAGAAAGTCAAGAAGATCAAGGTACGGGAGAGGGAGTGGAGCTGGGAAAGTTTCAAGGGCGGCTGAAAGTGGGTGGAAGAGCTGGGGGCGTGCTGGGGGAAGAGCTGAAGGCTGACATGAGGAAGCAGGAGAAGGGGACGGAAGTTGACACGGAGATCGACGAGGCCAACAAGCTGCGAGGTGCTGCTGCTGCTGCTGCTGCTGCTGCTGCTGCTGCTGCTGCTGCTGCTGCTGCTGCTGCTGCTGCTGCTGCTGCTGCTGCTGCTGCTGCTGCTGCTGCTGCTGCTGCTGCTGCTGCTGCTGCTGCTGCTGCTGCTGCTGCTGCTGCTGCTGCTGCTGCTGCTGCTGCTGCTGCTGCTGCTGCTGCTGCTGCTGCTGCGCGAGCTGACCTGACCCCCCAGCTGCGCTTGGGCTGAAGCCGCTCAAGAATGTTGACGAGTGGAAAAGCAAACACTGAGAGGGGAGCAGAGCAGAGCAGAGCAGAGAAAAGATGGGAAGAAGGAAAGAAGGGACAATGGAGAGGGAATGGGAAAAGACATAAGGAGGGAGGAGAGAAGATGGAGGGTTTACGAGCGTTAGTGCATATTTACAATCCTTCTGATAACATAAAGTTGTTTGACGTATGAATAATCCTTCTCCTCCTCTATCGTTTCCCTCCCTCCTGCCTCCTTCCCTTGATTGTTTTCTTCGTCCTCATCCCTGTCCACCTCCCACAATTATCCCACCTCCTGCTCTACTTCAGCCCCTTCGCTGTCATTCTCCCCCTCCTCCCCCTCCTGCTCCTCCTGCTCCCCCTCCTGCTCCTCCTGCTCCTCCTTCTCCTTCTCCGGCTCCTCCTGCTCCTCTTTCTCCTTCTCCGGCTCTTTCCTTGGATTGGATTGTGCGGGAGCAGAGAGGGGAGAGGGGGAGAGATCGAGAGGGTAGGAGGGAACGACTTTTTTGCAAGCTCCCATGGGCACGTACCACCTGCCGTAGAAACTCTTGCAGGAGGAGGGCAGCCAGGGCAACGTCTTGTTGGGGACGGGGAGGTACCAGGTGCCGTTGAAGAAGACAGAGCCGAGCGGAATGGTGGAAGCAGAAGAGGAACGAGGGGCCTGTGGTGGTGTCTAGTCAGATAAGCCCCCTTCCCCCCTCCCCTTCCTTCTCTCCCCCCCCCCACCCTCCCCTCTTCTTTCTCCTTGTCCTCCTCCTCCTCCTCCTCCTCCTCCTCCTCCTCTCTCCTGCCTCCTGCCTCCTGCCTCCTTATGACTCACCGCAACCCGTTGTATGCTCGGGATACGGAAGGTTGGGGAAAGACGAGTGGGCTGCAGCAAGGAGCAAAGTCAGCGGAGCGAGCGGGGACAAGAGCAAGCAAGGAAGAGAAGTAGCCAAAGAAAGAAAGGGAGAGAAGAAGAGGGAGAGAAGAAGAAGGGGGAGAGAAGGGAGACGAGGGGAGAGGGGAGGAAGGTGATGAGGGGTGAGGGGTGAGGCGAGGAGAGAGGGCAGGAGACGCTACCTGTGGCGGCTTCCATGATGCATTGAAGGCATTCAAGACCTGCAGGAATTCTTCGCCGTACTTCCTCGTCCTCTGAGATCCGAACCCCCAACATCTGCAACCGCCGGACACACCAGCCCATCATCTTCCTCCAACATTCCCTCCTCCTTCTTTCTCCTTCCTTCCCTCATTCCTTCCATCCTTTCCCCCCTCCCTCTCCTCCTTCTCCTCCTTCTCCTCCTTCCCCCCACCTCCCATCTCCCACCTCTCCCCGCCGCCTTCTCCCCTCATCTCTTCATTCGCTCCTTCATACACTCACTTGATCAGATCGTTTGTGGTCTTTGGCAGGTGCAGGGCAATGTCCCAGAGCGCGCGATCATGAGCGATCTGCTACATCGTTATCTTCAGTCCCCCTAACTTCCCAACCTGCTCCTCCTCCCTGCTCCCTGCTCCTCCTCCTCGCTCTTCGGTGCTCAGTGCTCCCTGCTCCTAACTCATCTCTGCTCCTCCCCTGCATTTTGATACCTTCATTCCCGTCATTTCTCTGTTTCCGCACAACTCTCGCCACCGACCCCCCTCCGTCCATTTTCGTCATTGCAATTTTCGATCCTCCTCCACCTTTCTCTCACTACCGTCCCCTCCTCCTGCCCTTCTGCGCTTGACTCCCCTGTTCCTGCTCCTGCTCCTGCTCCTGCTCCTGCTCCTGCTCCTGCTCCTGCTCCTGCTCCTGCTCCTGCTCCTGCGCCTGCTCCTGCGCCTGCTCCTCCCGCTTCAGGTCCTCCTGGTCCTCCTGGTCCTCCTGCTCCCCCTCCTTCTGTCCTTCATTCGCCTCATTCTCTCACCTTGAAAGTTCGTACGTTCGATGCCTTGGAAATCCTCGTTCTCTTCATCTTTAGCAACTCGTAAAGCTCCTTCACCTCTGCCGCCGGCGCCCACTCCGGGCATTCGAAAGAGGAGGAGTTGCGGCCGGGTCCGGTGGGGGTCGGTCCATGTTTCAGCATGTACCTCCCGTACTGACCCGACGGTCTTCCTCGGGATCGAGGCCTCAAGTCATCCCACCGTACCTCCTCGTCCTCCTCGTCCTCCGACATGCTCTCAGACGGGCTGCTAGACCCGGAGTCCTCAGACGCCTGACTGCTCTCGGCGTACGTGACGGCTGCTCGAGTCCTGAGCGATCGGCGGACAAAGCTGTCGTCCATCCCCTCAGTCACCGGCTCCTTCCTCCCTTGCCCATTCCTCGTCCTCGTCCTCTTCTTTCTTGAGGGGTCGGCGGTCGCTACAACCGAGGACGCCAGCCCGAGTTGCCGCAGCAGTTCCGCGTTCTTCCTCAACTTGGCTTCTCGCTCAGCCTCGTAGTCCTGCTCCTCTCCTCCTCTCAGCCGCAGCAGCAAACCCGTGCTTCCACGAGCAGCCCTCGGGCAGCCATGAGAGGGTGAAGCTCTCCGCATCTGTTCCAAGAGGAGGAGAAGGAGGAGGAAGAGGGTCCGATATCCCCTATCACCTGTGAGCATGCGACATTCCACTTGTGCTGCAAGCTGCCTGCAAGAAGGACAGTCGTGAGCGTGAACAGGAGCGGAAGGAAAATCAGCGATTGATGAGGCGCAGGTGTGGTTGTGAAGGGCAGGAGAGACGAGGGAGGGGAATGGCGAGGAAGTTAAGGTAAGGGACGAGGCTGGAGCTGCGCATCCAAGAATGAGGACGGTTATGGGAGTGGCTGAGCCTGGTATGAAAGGAGGAAAACTATTCCTCTTAGCAAGTGAAAGGATAAGGAGAATGGCAGAAGGAAAAGGAAGGGGAGGGGAAGAAGGAATGAAATGAGAGAGCGGCAAATGACAAATGAAGGGCATGCGAAGTTCGGGGGTAAATTGAAGACTGGATTAGGAGGAGGAGAGGAGGGGCGTCGTGAGGGAGGGAGGGGTGAAGAGAGTGAGAGAAACAGCTAACGGAGCCAGAAAGAGGTAAGAGAGAAACAGAGGAGGTAGAAGAAGAGGGTCTAGGAGAACGAGAGAGGGAGGAGGTAGGGGAGAACAAGTAAGAAAAGGAGAAAGTAGGTAAGTCCAGAAGAGGTAAGCGAGGGAGAGAGGAGGCAGGAGAGGAAGAGGAGGCAGGAGAGGAAGAGGAGGCAGGAGGGGACGAGGAGCATGGAGGGCTGGAAGGCATGAAGGCGAAGGGAGGGGCAAATGCTCGTCGGATCCCGCTGCCCCGGGCCCACTACTGGCTTCGGAGGGCCTCGGTCACTGGCCCAGCCGCGCGCCTGAGCGGCTTGGCGGCCCGGGCCCGGCCCGGCACGTGACGGTACCGTACGGTGCCGGGCCGTAGCGGCCGGGCCACCCCCACCGTACGGTGCCGTACGGTGGCACGGTCACGGCGGGTGACGGCGCGCCCCCGGGCCCGGCCGGCTATGGGGCGTACCCCTGAGTACGGTTGAAGCCGGGGGCGGCATCACACTGTGTCGGCAGGATTAGGTTTGGTTCTCGCTGTCTTTTCTCTTCTCGCCGTTTGGCCTGTGCGACAGTGACCGGCGGAGCGGTCCGGGGAGCCGCTAGGCTAGTATCACTGATTACGCGGCGGCGCACTGCCGAGTGATCGGACTGCGGGAGCGGGCGGCGAGCGGCCTGAGTCTCACTGAGTCAGCAACTTGATCGCCGAGCCTCGGAGGGGCCCCGGCCGCCGCGCGCGGCGCGCGGCCGCGTCGGGAACTGACAATGAACCGTGAACTTCTGAACCGTCTCGGAACCGGAAGGCCCCCGCTTTCCGATGGCAGTTTTCGGAAGTTTCAACTTGAACTTAGTGACTCTCGGAACTTACTTAACAGTGGGCCGCCGCGCAGTGGCACGGTGCCGCGGCGGTGCCCGGCGGGCGTGTCCTGGCACGGCCCCTGAACGGTCTGATCACACGGTGGCCTTGTCACAGTGTAGGGCCTCATTGTTGTAGCCGCATTCAGTTCCGCTAACTGAAAGTTTCCACGGTTACTGTTTGCGGCCGTGACGCGGCGCTTGCCGGCGTGCTGCCCAACCGTTGAACCGTTGCGGTGTGAGTGCCCGGATGACAAAGAGGGCAACGGGCGTCGGATGCTCCGGTGTGCCACCGGATAAAATGCTGAGGACGCTGACATTAAGACCGACAGGTCACGTTACGTTGGCCATCATGTGACGACTGAGCAGACTCGGAGGAACGCTTACACCTGCTTCCTCGGCTAAATTCTCACGCACGGCGGCAGGAGCACGGCAACATCACAGGGTTCTCATCGGTGCAATGGCGCAAGGCAAGCAAACCCATGCTCGCATCCAGGCTCCCACAGATTCAGTGATTATTGAGACACGGACCAAGACTGGGCTCATCCGCAAAGACAGGCCGGTGGTCCTCAGTCAGGGCGTCCTGCAAGAACTTTTTCGTTTCCGGCAAGACGTAGCAGCAAACATGCTGGTAAGCTCTCTTATTTTCTCTCTTTCTCTATCTTCTCTGTCTCTGTCTCTGTCGCTGTCTCTGGTCGCACTGACGTGGGGCGCTCAGGGAGTCTCCTTAACGAGCTTCAAGATCGCTTGTCGCAAGCTGGGCATAGGCCGGTGGCCTTACACGAAGGATTCGAAGACAAGGCAGGTGCTCATGCGACATCCCTCAAGCAACAGCCAGCAGCTCGTCTCGCACAGCTCGTGGGGGCAGAGTGCCAAGTCAAACAGATCTGCTGAGGTGCGAACTCAGCAACACGGAGCTGGAGACATTCAGCCTGAAGAAAATGAAAACACCATCTGGTTGGAGCTCACGAATACACCAGCGCAAGCTGTGCTGGAAGACAGAAACTCAAGTGTCACAGGCGCGAGTTTAGACGATTTTCATAGCATACTTCCTCACGGATCAGATACCTTGCCTAGTGTGGTCGAGGAATTCACCAGCGGTTCAAGCTGCCAGCAGCCGCGCTTTTCTGAACTCTCGTGGAATAGCGAAGAGCAGGATCAATGGTTCGATCAGTTGAGTGAGGTAACAATCGAGGACGCCTTGAATGTAGAAGGTGTAGATTTCTTTCCCAGTGCTACACGAGAAGGCGCGAATACGAATTTCCTTTACGATCAGGAAGACCAGATTTCACTTGCGGGTTGCTGGACTTCTGATTGATATAAAGAATTATATTCTAATACCACACTCACACCATGAATGTGTTGAACACGTACTTGTAGAAATGAATGGTTGACAGCAAACGACGTTCACCTTCCAATAAACCACTGTCCATCCTAACTCCGACGACGGGAACGTTTAATCCCCTCAGTGCTTTGTTGCCTAGACCCTCGGACTGGGAGCTGCTCATCAGGGCAGGTGGCATCCCGGCACTGACACTGGGTGACAATGGCGGTGCCTCAGACCGTGGCAGTATGGGGAAGGCTATCATCATCATGAGTCAAGGCATCAATGACGGTAGTCCGTACAGGTCAGTACAGTGTGAGGTATGTTGGTAGATTTGACGCGCTGATCAAACAAAGAGTCTCCTCCACTCCCGTGACTGCAGCTCCAATGCCATGATTGTCCTCAGGCGCTCGCACAGGCTGAAGCCAGTTTCTAACAATACTCTGCCAGGCTGGCTGAGTCCAGTGACTCAGCCGGGACTCGGCGCCGGAGCCACCGTGCCCGTGCCACGGTCCGATCCCCGGGAAGGTCACATGATTACCGGCGGTGCTGGCCCGCCGCCAGTCATCATCTTGGCACGTATCTTGGCTCCTTCACTCCCTCAATTGGTTCGAAGTGACATAACTTACTACACACCGGGAGCGAGTTCGTCCCCTCCGGTCAGCAGATCACCTGGTCACGCGGAGGTCACCGTCGCCGCGCGGCGCCCGGTCACCCCGCCGGGTCAGACTAAAAATTACCTGGCGCGGGCCCGGATTCCGGATCACAAAGAGTGGATCTGAGCGGGGATGCGGGTTATCAGCATCATTTCAAACTTTTGAACCTCGTGTGTTTAGTGCCGCAAACCATGTTGAACATGCTTCAAGTGGTGATATCGGTCATGCACCGGTTATGATGTACACACCTCCATTGATGATGTACACACCTCCATTGATGATGTACAGAGCTATATTTCATTTCTTGATGTGACATCTGGGTTTGCTTTGCGAGGAGATTGCTGTCCTTCCTGATTGGAGGAGTATAGTTTACATTTCTCTCATGCCTATCCACGTGTGCAATCTATCAAAGTTCATTAGCAACTCTAGGGCTCTACTAGGTGTTGAATCAGTCATTGCTTTTGTGACAACTCTGACAGTGATACATATGAGGGCTAATGCCTTTGTAGATAGTTTTGACACTCAACAAGATCTGAGACCCTTTTCGCAGATAATTCTTACACAAAATTCGTCAACACAGTGGTCTATCCGTACCTTTATGACATACTAAAAATACCTAAATGGGAAATAGAAGGGTACTCGGCGTGATATTCTTGTCATTTCTGTCACTTGTTGACTCAATCAGGTTCTCGACACAGTCAAGCAATCCTTCGCATCCGAGCAGTCAGAGACTGAACTTGAACTCAGACAGGAACAAAAGGTATGAAGAATTCCAAAAAAGAAGCACACATGCAGATTCTGCAATTAGTCAGAAGTCGGAAGCGTTCGCCGATGAATTCATGCAGGAAGCTTATCGTTCAAGCAACAACAGAAACCTTTCTCGGATTCTTGATCCAATCTCGCAAATGGCTGATCTCCGAGATAGACCATGGTCGCTGCAGAAGTCTCAGATTGAGGATAGCGATTTCAATATGTCGATGAAGGACGGGGGCAAGCATTTGGAAGAGATATCGAGAAATTCCTTGAATACCTCCTACTTGCCGAGATCAAAAGCAGGGAAAGCAAGAATCACCAACAGCACAAAATCCTCTTCGATGCCAAAGGAAAGAAGATCCTTCAATCTCAACTTTGTCAGATATATGTCCACCATAGTTGCATACTTTCATTTGTTTTGGAGCTCCATATGCAATCTGCGAGCCCTCGATTTTTGTACAAAACGAATTCCCGATGCTGCCAGAAAGTTTGTGCCATCAACGCCAACCCGGTAAGAATCCTTGTGGCACTGCTCCATGCCCTTATGAGGTTTGGGTTCAGTCATGGAATGAAAACTCTGGTGTCCGAGTCTGCCGCGATCTGGTCACAAGCTTTCTGGAAACTTTTGGTATGGAACAAGAGATGCCAATAAGGACAAGGACGAGGACGAGGATTAGAGATTGCCATTGAAGCAAGCGCATTTTGTGGTTGATAGAAATGCGGTGGGATTCACGGGTGTTGGAGTGAGGGTGGGGCTGTTTGGTCAGGGATGAAAGCGGGGTATACGATGAGAAAGAAATAGATTGTAGCATTTCACTCAACGTGATCGCATTGATCTTTTGTTCCTCCAGGTTTTACAAGCTCTTGTGCTGCTCAAGACTATCGTGCGTCAAGGTCACGTGCTAGGTGTCCTCGTCTTCGTCTGTTTCACGCCTCATCTCTTATTGGCAGCGAAAAGCTTCAGCCAAGCTGCTGATCGAGACTATGCCGCGATCGTTCCAGGTTGTCACTGAGATACTCAAAAGGTACAACTGACTTGTATCTGCAGACTCTCCAGTGCTTGAAAGTCGAAGATCCAAGTACAAGGTGAAGTTTCATAGCTCCTTCTCGCCTAACCTCTTGCAGTATCATGTGGCAACGGAGAAGACGAGACTTGCAGAAGAGCGCTATCGCTCACTCAAGCAGCAGCTGGCGGAGGCTGCTGAGGGCCTCAGGCATGTTGACTTGAACGCTGTCGGTCTTCTGACATGGCTTGCGCGTCAGACTGGCTCAGGAAGAGAAGGAGGTGGCAAACACGAGAAAGAGCTACCCGAGCATGTGGACTCCAACCCACCAGGACGACCGTAGGAGACACTCCAGCACGACCAGTGCTCATGAGTATCCCTCCATGTTCGCTCAGAACCCTCCCAGCCCCCCGCCCCCTGCGACTCCCCTCCAGTTCTCTCACGGTGATCGTCACAAGCACCTTCATCGCCGAGACGCGAGCACCCCAGCTCAGAGGATTTCTCTCAGCTCATATTAAAGTCTTGTATACCTTCAAGGGCCTTCCACCGTGACCGTGACTGCGGTGCCACAGACCGTCGAACCGAGTGCCACGGTGCCATAATGCCATGATGGCAGTACTCGCCGCGCCGGGGGCACGGGTTCAACGGTTGAACTGAGCGACTCTCCGGCGGAACTCAGGCGTGAGCCTCGTCGGAGCTTGAGCCTCGGAGACGGTCATGGTCAGTGAGGCACCGCCGGGCACCGAGAACTTGATTCACTGGCAGCCCGGCCCGGCGTGCCAGGACGAGCGGGCCCTCCGACTCGTCAAGTTATCCGAGGCCTGACCCCTGCCCTGACCCCTGCCCTGACCCCTGCCCTGACCCCTCAGTACCTGACCCTGCCCCCGTTTTGAGTACCCCTCGGGCCCCCCTTTTTTTAACACCCGACTGAACAATGGCTTTATGAGGGTACCTACCCCTATCCCTACACCTACCCCCTCTAATGACCTCTATGTGCGTCGATCGCGTCCCCCGCAATGCTTGTGATAAAGCCGCGAAAACACCAGGGCAGAGGAGCCGATGGACGGAGACAGGAGAGAGTGTCGATGGGATAGAGAGATCCGGGGTGAGGAAGGTACACGGAGAGACATGGTAGAAAGACAGAGAATGTCAATAGAGGGTGAAGGGAAAGGATTGTCTTGCAAGCTACTAGATTTTTCAATCATTTTTTGTTTTGAGGTGGTTTAGTTTATCATCAAGATAGCATATCACGATCATGTTGCCGGTGTATGGTGATAGAACTGATAGCACAGATATCCGATCATAGTGGAGCTCTCAACCTGTAAACCTTGTCTTTCTCACCGTCCTGATGATCCTTACAGACGAAGGTTTCAACCTGCTGCTCTTCACGCAAAGATCGCCCGACGCTCCTGCGTTTCACGGATGGCGGTTGGAATGCATGAGACAGATCAGATCTCCAGCAGCCAAAAGGCACGTGACGGCTTCAACGTCAAGGCCAATGAGCATGCCTGTCCCAACAATGCGCGCCAGTCTGAGGAGGAGAGTCCGAAAGTTGAGTGGGGGAAGGAGGAAAGTGTGGAGGACGAGAAGTTCTGGGTGAACAACTCCTTGACCTACCTACAAGATGAGACAGACTCAGACAGCAAGAAGATCGAGGTCGAAGAGACCAACTACGACAACTTTCAGATCCCTTGGTTCAAGGTGTCCTGTATCTTCCTCGCCGTTGCCAGCGATGCCGTGGCTCTCATTGGTCCTGTTCCCTTCCTGCCTGCTCTCTGCCAGGATCGATTTCAGCTCTCTGAAGCAGAGGTGGGAGTTGTCGTCGGCGTCTTGACAGGAGCGTACAGGTTGAACTAATTGCTGTCGCTTTGTCGTCTGAACTCGTTGTATCAATCAGTCTAGCGAACTTCGCGACTAGCATGGTTCTAGGCCATTGGAGGTAGGAGCGCTGGTTTTTATGATGCTTGCTAATTGTATTGGGGTAGTGATCTTTGTGGAAGACGCTTCTTCATCCTTTTGGGTCTCTTCACCTCAACGGTAGTTCAGGAGTGGAGGGGAGGGGAGGACACGAAAAGGAGCTGAAGGCTGACTCGCAGGTTTTGACTTTTGCGCTTGGCTTCATTCATGTACGTGCTGTGACAAAGTTTCCTTTGATGCTCATCTTTATCCCCACAGGACCCCTGGACTGCAATCTTGAGCCGCATGGTACTCAAACCGCACGTGCAGGCTATGTCTTGATGCTCTACCAGATGATCGGAGCTCTCAACACAAACTTTGCACTTTCAAGGGCTGCAATCTCCGACTTGATCCCCCCAGGGTATCGCTCACTTCCCTAGCCTCCCCTCCGACTCGTCGTTTCCTTTCTCTCGATGCTCAGCTGCTATTTGATACCTCCTCCTCACTGCGTATCCTACCTGGGCTGATGCTGTTGGTCCAGAGGAAATTTGTCCCCTCTGCCTTCTCGTCCTACTCCTTCTACTCCTCCTACTCCTCCTACTCCTCCTACTCCTTCTACTCCTCCTACTTCTCCTACTCCTCCTACTCCCTGTCTCTGTTCTGCCATCATGTGCATATCTGAGAAGCTTGTCTGTGCAACAGGAAACGGGCGATTCCCTTCGCATACCTCGGAGCGACTTTTGCTCTTGCTCGAACTTTCTCGTCAGCAGTCGGGGGATTCATGGTTCGTACCGAGAGTTTGGAGGGGAGTGAAGGAGGACAAGTTGGAGGAGAGAGAAAAGGATGTCAATGGGTAATGAAGGACGATGAGGAGGATGGTGGTAATGGAGGGAATGGGGAAAAAAGCGAAGAGCAGGGGAGGACAGGGAGGGAAGAGGTTTTGAAGTCGTTGAGACATCTTGGTCAGGTTGGTCTCTTCTTTCAAGATCCATTCATCGCCCCCTGCATCGCTTTGTCTCTTCCGCCTGGAATCACTTTCGTTATGGTTCTATTCGGGTAGGGGCCACCACGTGTTGCTCTCCTTGCCCTCGCCCTCGCCCTTGTTCACTTCCTCTTCCTCGACTTTGTTCACTTCCTCTTCCTCGCCCTTGTTCACTTCCTCTTTCTTGCCCGTGTTCTCTTCCTCGCCCTTCGGCAGCCATGTCTGCTTGCCGTGATCATCTTCATCGCGTTATCCTTTCTTTTTTGTCCCTCCCTCTTGCTTCTTCCCTCCTCCCCCGTCATCGGTCTTCCTTGTCTTGTTGACTTGGCCTGTTTCTTGTCAGTCTGCCGGAGATGCACGGCAAGCGCACTTACGATGGTGTGGGGGATGCGCTCCAAGTCTGGTGGAGAAACCGGAGGAGCAAGGCAAGGGCGGAGGCAACCGTTCCGTACGAGGAGCACAAGGATGAGCACGCAAACGGGACGAGCACCGTCAAGGACGAGGAGGGAGGAGGAGAGAAGAAGGCCGAGGAGCAAAAGATCAATCATGCTCACTTGACCCTCATGCAGGTCAAACTCTTTCCTTTCTTCCGTCCTGCTTGAGCTTCCCTCTCCTCTCCCTCCCTCTCGTCTCCTCTCGTCTCCTCTCGTCTCCTCTCTTCACCTCCCCTCCCCTCCCCTTTTTTTTCCTCTCCTTCCCATCCTTCATCTCTTCTCCTCTTCACTTCTCTCGTTTTCTCTTCCCTCTGATACTTGAGAGTAGAAATGGAAAATTCTGACGGAGGACAAGCTGATCATGCGGCTAACCATAGCGTTTGGGGTCGTCAGCTTCGCCAACGGCTTTTCTTTTCCTGGTTTGCGCTTTCTCCCTTGATCTCCTCCCTAACTTTCCTTTCTGCTTGTGTGACATCTGCTGACTCGCCGGCTCCTCAACAGGGATCGTTCTTTTTCTCTCTTCCAGTGTAGAGTCGCATGGGATGGGAATGAACGCGTTACAGACGGGGTTTGCGTTCACGGTAAGAGACTGGGAGGAAAAGTGTGACACGAGCGACAGAGAAGGGGAGTTTGAGATCCAGCTAGCGTAGTAGTAGTTGATGACAGTACATTAGATTCTGCTGGGGGCTCAAGGTAGTTGAAAATGGGATGAGAGTGTATCAGGTGATTTACGTGAGAGGAAGGGAAGAAACGAGTCAGAAAGTATCGTTGGATGAACTGACTTGAAATCTTTCTAGTCCATGGGCCTCGTGGGGTTTTTCTTTCAGATCATCTTTTACAAGGTTCTTCTAAAGACCATCGGGCTAAGACAAATCTTCAAGGTCTGTCAAGAGAAGAAGTAAATTTGCAGGATAGACACGACTGCAGGGAAGTTAGCTGATGTGTCTGAGTGACAGGAGAGGGCAGGAGGGTCTACAGAATCAAACAGGAGGAGAGATAGACCAAGTCGCAAGCGAGGACAGGTCAGGGAGAAGAAAAAGAAGAAACGATTTGACAAAGGGAAAGCAGCTGCAGCACAAGACAAAGATTAGCAAGGCAGGATAGGACGAGGGAGGGATGATGATGATGATGATGATGATGATGATGATGATGATGATGATGATGATGATGATGATGGAGATGATGATGATGATGATGATGATGATGATGATGATGATGATGATGATGATGATGACGGAGATGGTGATGATGATGATGATGATGATGATGATGATAGAGATGAGGATGATGATGATGATGACGACGACGACGGAGATGATGATGCTGATGTTAATGAGGAGGAGGAGGAGGAGGAGGAGGTGCAGGGAGGTAGGGGATGGAGAGGAGTGACTGGTGGTTCAGGAGGGTGATCAAGACTTCAGAGGCGATGAGGAGAGACAACCTTGAAGACATGTGAGAAGCTTTTCAAAGAGGAGGAGACCTGAGTCACTGACGCTCCCGCTCCCGCTCCTGCTCCCGCCCCTACTGCCCCTCCTGCTTCTGCCTCTGCTGCTCCGGCTGCTGCTCTTCCTATTTGTCGTCTAGGTCGGGGATGTTGTCCACTGAAAGGGCAAGTCAAAGGGAAGAGGTCAGGCCCGAGACAGTGGGAGCAGGTATGGAGGAGGATGAGGGTTGCTGACACTGGTGTTGGAGGGTGTGGGGGTTGGGAGGAGGAGGAGGAGGATGACGATGATGATGATGATGATGATGATGATGATGATGATGATGATGATGATGATGATGATGATGATGATGATGATGATGGAGATGATGACGATGATGATGGAGATGATGATGGAGATGATGATGATGATGAGGAGGAGGAGGAGGAAGAGGAAGAGGAAGAGAATGATGTGGATTATGTCTAGATGGAACGATGGAGAGACAGCAAGCTAGAAGATTACCTTCCTCCTCCAATACCGTGAGCGTTGTCTCCTTCTCCTCCCCGTCCTTCCACATTGGCACTTCTGCTTTATTCTCAAATCGTCTGCTCCTCTGCGTCTCCCTCTCCTCTGAACCCCTCCTGTGTCTTCCCTGCTCCTCAGCCCGTGTCCCCTTGCCCCAGC